CGGCGGCGTCGGAGGAGCGCCCGCTGCTGGCCGACAGGCGCGGGATGAGCTCCGGGGGCAGCCGCCACGTGACGCGCCGCAGGTCCAGCTCCTCCCCCAGCAGGGGCTCGAACTTCCAGCCGCCGCCTTGGGAACAACGAAGGGCCGCGTTGGCACCGCCGGCGGGCGCGGGCGGCTGCGGAGGGGCCCGGCGGGGCAGATGCGGGTGGCGCCGCGACGGGAGCCTGTCTTCGGGCTCTGGGGTCCAGCTCTGTGTGTGTGTGGGGGGGGGGGGCGGTGCGCTACGGGGACTGGGAACACGGGGACAGGTGAGTCCCTCAGCCCGCGCGGCAGAAGAGCCCTCTGGATGCGCGAGTGCAGCCTGGGCCCCAGCTGGTGAGGAAAGACCAAGCCCAGCCAGGAGACCAGGAGTAGTCCTGGCTCTGTCACCAGCTCTGAGGTCTCCCTGCTCTTTGCCTCAGTTTCGCGTCTGTATTATGGAGACAGTATTCTCTCCCCTGCCTACCTCCCACGGACAGTTCCAGAAGCCACAGTGCTTCACAGGTGGTGTAGCTGGGATACCTGATTCAAACCAGCTGCTCTTTACCTCAGACCCTCAAAACCCTCAAGACCCTTGGGCTTGGGTTCCTTAAGCCCAAGTTCAGCCCAGTGGGGGCAGGTGCCAGGGGGGCTCTGGCATAGGCAAGGATGGAAGAAAATACAAATGACAAAAGTGCCCTGGAGGATTTTCACTCATGGCATTGTGTGATTGGCATCCCATTTTACAGATCAGAAAACTGAGGCACAGATAGGGTAAGCAATTCATCTGCATTCCCACAGTGGGGCCAGAGCTAAAACTGAGTAGCCAGGAGTCCCAGCTGAGGGCTCTTTGCACCACATTGTGCAGGTAATCAAGGAGGGAGGAGGAACGGGGCCAGTGGCAGAGAGAGACTGCCTTGTGGACCCTAGCCAGGTGGCTGCTCTGGGACTCCTGGGCCATGCCGGCCTCCTCCCACATAGCCCTGTCCCCAGGGGACAGCCCAAGTGTCCTGACTCTATGGCAAGGCTGGTGAGCCTTCCAGTCGCAAAGCTGTGTTTCCACGTGGCCCCAACGTGCATGAGCCCATGAGCATCTGCCCCAAGCACGCATCTGTCTGCCTGCCTGCCTTCATACACAGATGTGCACGTGGTCGCATGTGGGCCACGTCAGTTTTGTCCCTTCTGTACCCAGTGCCAGTACGGTGCCTGCTAAACTGTAGTCTCCACAGATATTTGTCTGGGGCTGAGAGGGGACTTCTAGTCTTGACCTCCATGCCCAGTGGTCACTGGCTCCTTTGCCCTCCCTGGACACCAGTGACAGCCCCACTCCCTATGCAGTACCCTGACTTTCCTCTCGGGGATTCAGGCCCACTCACCAGTGTCGTCGGAGACGCTGGGCCTCTGGCTGCCAGCCGGGGAGCGCAGGACATCATCGCTGTACATGAGGAAGCTTTCATAGTCTTCCCCACTCTGGGCATCCACGATGGGGATGTCTGGGATGATGGGGACTGCGGGGGTGGGAGGTGTGAGCCGGGACCCCAGCCTCAGATCCCTGTGTTCCCGTCTGCCGTGCCTCCCCACCCACCACTCACTGGACATGGGCCGCTTGGGCTGGGTGGCCAGGTTGATGATGGCCTCCCGCTCGGGCCCCCAGCCTGCCCCGTTGCGCGCCTTCACCGTGTAGCGGTACGGCTGGGACTCCCGCAGGTTCTCAATGAGCAGCGTCCGCTTCTTGGGGCTGTCCACCAGCACCTTCTTCATGGGCCCGATGGGTCCTGGGGCAGGGAGAGCACTTCAGAGGGGTCATCCAGGTTCCGACCTGGTCCCGGCCCTGCCTCTGACGCAGCAGGACTGTCGCACAGCCCCTGAAGGGTACCCAGGGGGTTCAGGGAACAAGGCAGGGAGCGAGCACTTTTGAACTCCAGCAGCTGCCAAGCCCTGAGAACCTGGGCGTGACTGGTTGAGAGAAGTGTCACCAAGGGGCTCATCGCTAAGTTAAGTGCCAGAGCCAGGACTAGACTCAAGTTGGCCCCACTGTCACGTCTACTGATTGGTAAACGGTCCTGTGTCCAACGTGCCTCTGCATGAGGCTCGCTCCAGAGGTGAGGGCACTCACGTCACCTGTGCCCCACTGTCTACAACCAAACCCCAAAAGCTCTGTTGAGAAAGCAAAGGTGGAGACATGCGAACACCAACCGTGGCTGCCCTGTGGTCACATGGGCTAGGATGGGAGGAGAGAGGCAGGCTCAGGGAAGCTGCACTCAGGAGAGGCTGCAGCTTGTGAGAGCTAAGGGTGTCAGAGTGGAGTGGATGTTATGCAAGAGGGCCGCCGGGGGTCATGCAAGCAGAGAGCAGAGGCCACACAGCTCTCCTCCACTCACACCTAGAGGGTGGACACGCAGCTCTGGTAGAAAGGAGGAAGAGATTGCTCAGCTGCTTTGAGCAAGTTATGGCGCTGAGGCCCAGATATGACGAGATGGGGCCCGCCACATTGGAAGACTTCTGGGAGACCAGAAAATGTCCCAGTTTCCAAAAGTCCAAAGGGGGGTTCTGGAAAATGACACCTGATAAGCTTGATGTCCACCCCCAGCAAATAACTGTGCTCAGAAGAATTTGTTGATGGAGGCCTGTCAGCCCAGGGGAAATCTCTAACTGCTGAGGTGGGGGCTTCCCGTGGCCCACCCCTTACATCTCTTTCAGCTCATGGGAGAAGGGAAGAGGGCGCACACCAAAGTGCTGATGCCCTTGGGCAGGGAGGGCTGCCCGGCACATTCCATGACACAGCTGAGGCCTCAGCAGGCTGAAGCCATGAGCTGAAGCCATCAGGAATGAACTTTCGTTGGATACATGTAACTCCTGGGATTAAAGGCAGGGTCGGAGGAGACTTCCTGACAGAGGTCCGTGGGTGGACTAGGTGTTTAAACTCAGAATAAGCCAAGGACATGATGCAGCTGCTGAGAAGCTTGTGCTTGGTCAGCCTGGCTAATGAAGAGCAACGAGCCTGACGCCCAGAGCAACCCCGCTGCCCTCTGCCCTGCTGGGCCACCCTGGGTTTGCTGAGCCCGACCTACTTTAGGGTCCACGGATCATATGCAGGTGGTGAGCTCCCTAGCCCTGGGACTGACCAAGCAGAGGTGAGGGCTCGAGGAGAAGGTCCCTACACCAGGTGAGAGGTGGGCCCGATTTCCCTCGAACACTTTCATCTCAACAGTTGGCAGGGGTCGCCCATCCTTCCCTCCCTTCTAGGACTGGGAAGAAATAACAGTTCTGCCAGGTGCTCTGGCCTAGGGCTGCCAGATAAAATATTGCATGGAATGTACTAAAAAAAAATGTTTATCCCAGGGCCGGCCTGGTGGCATAGCGGTAAGTTCACACGCTCCGCTTCAGTGGCCCGGGGTTCACAGGTTTGGATCCCGGGTGCGCACGGGCGCACGGCTGGTCAAGCCATGCTGTGGTGGCGTCCCGTATAAAGTAGAGGAAGATCGACACAGATGTTAGCCCAGGGCCAATCTTCCTCAGCAAAAAGAGGGGGATTGGCATCGGATGTTAGCTCAGGGCTAGTCTCCTCACACACACAAAATTTTATCTGAAATTCAGGGTGAGCTCTGTGTTTATTTGCTAAATCTGGCAACCGTACTCTGGCCCTAAGAGAACCATGTGAAAATGAGCCATTTTGGGAAGGCACGCCTGGACCTGTGACCCCACACTACATATATAATCTCCGGCCTTCCATCCCCACCTGCCCTGGGAACTTCTGGGCTTGGCCTTGGAATGCAACTGTCCCAAACCTGACCACAAACCTAATGATGCCTCAGGCAAACAGACGCCTCATCCACTGCCTGGGACATGTGACCTCCCTCCTGCTCTTTGTCCCCTCCCTTCCCCTGGGGGCAGGAGGAGGGGTCCAGGTCCTTACGGTTGTCCTCGTTGACCAGGCCGTAGCAGACCTCATAGGCCGTGATCTCGCCGTTGGTCTCGGCTGGCTCCGCCCAGCTCAGCTGGGTCACCGTGGAGGAGACAACGTTGAAGGCCAGACGCCCTGGCTCACTGGGTACTGGGGGAGGGGGTATGCAGGAAGAGAGCGTCAGTGGCAGAGGGAGGGTGGAGTTCTGAGAGGACGGGTGGGGGTGGGGCAGGACTGGGACGCTGGCCTCAGGGTGGCTAGGAGACAGATGGACAGATGGATGGACCAAGGGACGTGCGAGGCCTCACCTTCCTGGTGGGTGCGGCAGGACACCAGGGAGCTGTAGGGGCCCTCGCCCTGCGCCCCATAGGCGCACACCTTCATCTCATAGTCGCAATATGGGTACAGGTTGGTGAGCTCCACCGAGGGTACCTTGCTGTCGAGCAGGTGGGCTTCCAACTCGGAGTCACCCTGGATCCAGTACTTCACCTGTTCCCAGGAGAGGGGCTGGTCACCGGGGAGCTGCAGGCACCAGAGCCGCTCTTCCCTGTTGATCCCCTGCCCTTATTGTCTCCTTTGCACAGATGAGACACTGAGGCGTTGAGCGACCTCACACAGCAGGGCTGGGGCAGAGCAGGGGTGTCTCCGGGTGGGGGAAGGGGCTGCATTCCAGGAAGGAGGGCAAACCTCTGAAAGCTCCCCTTGCGCAGATGCGGGTTCCCCCTGTCCACCTGTGCTCGGACCCACTGGGGCCAAGCATGCCCTCTCCTCTCCTTCAGGGGCGCTCTGGCCTCCGGTGGCCCACCTCCCTAGTGGCTGCCAGGCCTCCCCATCCACCTCCCTCATCATCCCCCACCTTACCCTGTACCCTGTGGGCTTGCCAGGAGGGGGCAACCAGTTGAAATGGATCTTCCGGGACCCGGCGGCCTTGGCATTGGGGTTCTGTGGGGCGCCCAGGTCACCACGGGGGGGTGGGAGTGAGGACACGGTCTGGCTTATTAAGTTTCGGTCCAGTTCATCTGTAGTGGGTCAAGTCCACGGGGCAGCCAGCTCAGACACTTGCTCTTTGAGGGGGCAGGAACCCACTCTTACTAGCAAGGGGTGCCAGAGACCCAGTTAAACACCCAAGACTCCTCCCCCCACAGCACTCAACTGAGACCTGCCCCACATCCCCCCCTCCCCCAACCTCCCTGGGCCTCTGGGGGGCTGCTGCCCTCATTGGTGCCACAGAGGACATCCTGCCAAGTTTGGTGGGGGCCCAGGAGAGTCTCTGAAGGAATGAGAAGGAGGAGGGAGTTTGCCCCTCTTTCTCCCTTGGCAGCCAAGGGAATGTCACATTGCTCCTCCTCCCTCCTCTCCCATCTTCCCCACAAGCCTCCTCTGGGGGTGGGCTCAAGACACCACCAGACTGGAGGCTAAGGACCAATAAGAACTAACTGTTTCACCCCTTCTGGGAGCACCTGTGTTTTAGTTGGAACTGAAGCAGACGTCAAAGGGCTAAGGCCTAATGGTGGGATTCACAGCACCACCAGCAGGTGGGGTGGCCACAACATGACCCCAGCCTCTCTGGTCGAGAGTAAGGTTACCAGATAAAATGCAGGATGCCTAGTTAAATCAGAATTTCAAATAAACAGCAAATACTTTTTTAGGATAAGTATATCCCAAATATTGCATGGGACACACTTATACTACAAATGTGTTTGTTGTTTATCTGAAATTAAAATTTAAGTGGGCATCCTGTATTTTTACTTGCTAAGACTCACAGCCTTAGTTGAGAGGCCCCCAGCCCTCCTTCCACACCTGCTTAAGCTGACCCCCAGCTCTGCCCACCTGGGTCCCCAATGATGACAGTGGCTGAGTGGGGCTGGTCCAGGCGGGCCCCAAACTTGGGGTTGCTGAGTTGGATGTGGAAGCGGCGGGTCTGGCGGCCCCGCAGGAGGGAGTCCATTTCCTGCAGCTCCAGAAGCTTCACCTGCAGCTCCTTCCAGGTCTCCCCAGGCTGGAACAGCAGCTCGCCCTCCACGGGAATGTAGTCCTGGGAGTGGGAAGGGGTCAAGGTCAGACCAGGCCTGGGGGGCAAGTCACGGCCGCATGCTCCACCCCAACCTCATGGACACTGCAGAGACCATCACACACGGGCTGTCCCACATGGAGACGAAATGGCTCATGTTTATATAGCACCTCCTGTGCATCAGGCACTTTACAAATATTAGCTCATTCACTCCTCACAGCAGTGCAAGGTTGAAATATTATTGTCCCCATTTATAGATGGGGAAATTGAGGCACGGAGACGTGAAGAAATTTGCCCAAGTTCCCCCAGTTAGTTGTGATGGAGCTGGGATTTGAACCAAGGCACAGAGAGAGACAGGGATGCACGGCAGATATGGAGAGTCCCACACAGGCAGGCTCAGCTCCGGGGGAGCTGGGATTTGCAGGCCCTACCCAGGGAGGGATTCTCCCCCACACTGTGGCTCTGAAGTCTGGAATCCCGCCAGGCCTCAGGCCCCTGCTGGGTGGGGTGCTTCCATTAGCTCCACCTGTCTTCTTTCAATGCCCCGGAGCTTTCCTGAGCGTCCCAGGATGAGTGTGTATACATGTGGGACGGATCAACTGCAAGGAGCCTGTGTGTGGGAAAGCCATCTCACATGAGACCACTAGGTGGCGCTTCAAACTAAGATTTCAGTTCCAGGCCCAGCTAGCCCGGCCGCTGTGCAGCAGGGGACAAACTAAAATGCTGCAAAACCCACACAGTGAGACAGCAGATGTAAGAAAAGCAGGAGACTCCTGCAAGACAACTGACCCTGAGGGGGTGGGGGTGGGGTGGGGGACGCTTCAAAAACCTCAAAGTCACGAAAGACAAAGCCGGGGAATTATTCTAGATTAAAGGAGACTAAAGCCACATGACAACAAAATGCAAATGCCAGATCCTTGATTGTTTTCTGGATTTCGGGGAACAAGCTATAAAGGACATTATTGGGACATGTGAACATGGGGAGATCTGAATATGGACTACTTATTAGGTACTAGTACAATGGGAAGTTTCTTAAGTTTGGTAATTATGCTGTAGTTATGTAGAATGACCTTGTTCTTAGCAGGGTCCTGCAGAAGTGTTTAGGGTCTACAGGAGTCTACAACTTATTTTGAATAGTTCAGCAAACAAAACTAAACACAACACAACTTTCTCTCCCTTTGTCTCTACAGTTATAGATATAGAGACACAGATCTACATACTATATCTACACACTGTACATGCATGTATACCTCTATCTACACAGAAAGAGAGAGAGAAAGCAAATATTAACAGTTGGCGAATCTATGTAAAGGGTAAAGGAGTGCTAATTTTATTAGTCTTCCCATTTTTTTGTAGGTTTGAAGTTTTTCAAAATGAAAAGTTGAGAAATAATAAAAATGTTTTAAAAAATAATTAAATACCAAAGCCTCTTTATAAAAGCATAACAGGATAGCCAGAATCTCTTATATACTAGGGCATATGCAGTGAAATTTATGGACATACAAACTCTTCTTTGGAATGTTTATCGGGAGCATTGGAGCAGGAATGAGAACAGTTCCTACCAATCAAAAGAAGTGAAGAGGACTAGGATGTGGCCGGGCTGCCAGGACCCGCAGAGTGCATGCTCTCCTGTGTTTGCTGAATGGCTTGTGGGCCCAGTGAGACTAGACTTTATTACTTTTTAAGTGAATTTTTTTTGTGTGTCTGTGAGGAAGATCAGCTCTGTGCTAACATCTGCCAATATTCCTCTTTTTTTTTGCTGAGGACGACTGGCCCTGGGCTAACATCCGTGCCCATCTTCCTCCACTTTTATATGGGATGCAGCCACAGCATGGCTTGCCAAGCAGTGTGTCGGTGCATGCCCGGGATCCGAACTGGCGAACCCCGGGCCGCCGCAGCAGAGCACGCACACTTAACCACTTGTGCCACCAGGCCGGCCCCTTAAGTGAATTTTTGATATGAATATTTTTAGTTTTTAAATGTTGTTAATAAATTCAGAAAAACAAACAAATAAACCTGTAAGCCAAACCAAGCACGTCCACCACCTGGATTTGGCTGCTCCCTGAGTAAAGGGAGACCGGCCCCTGCACATGGCTCTCCCCGCCCTGAAGGGCAGCTCCTGCGGCTTGGCCCCAGGAGGGTCTGCCCGGGACCTGGGGCCTGTGATCCCACCTCAAGAAGCCCAAAGTCCTTAGACTGGGGCAGACAGGGGAGTCCACTTCTCTATGAGCGGTTTGGCTGCCCTGGTGGATCCTGGCTTGTTGGAAAGGGGACACAAATGGTTTGGACATGTTCTTGGCCTCGGTCCCTGGCAACGATGGGGCCTCGCCCAGGGCGTCACTGGCACTTTTGGTGAGCAAGACATCCCTGCTGCAGGGAGCAGGTGGACATGTGCTTGGGAGGCCAGCCAGGGCCATCACCAGCATCCAGGGACTCAGGCAGCTGCAATGTCCTGCTCCCACTGGGCCCCTGGGATGTGCCCTTGACCCCGTGATGGAGCCTTACCCGGTTGCCCTGTGCTGTGTTGTCCTGCGTGCGGTAGGAGACCTGGGACTTGCCGTTGTCCAGGATGCGTCGGACGACGGGAATGTGGGCCACTTGCTCCCCGCCGCTGACCAAGTACTCGGGCTGCTCAAAGGACACTATCCCGCTGGCTGCAAGGAGCCCAGGCACTGGTCAGGGGGTCCTTCTCAACTCCCGCCCTCCCTCTGGCCCAGCCCAGCCCAGACTCCAGGAGTCTGCTTGTCACCCCTCACCCCACTGCTCTCTGGGGAGGGCAGAGGAAGGGGATGGAAAATTCTTCCAGAAAAACTTGAGGGGGCTGGAATAGTGTCCAACTGACATCCTGGAAGGGTCAGGGCAGAGAAAGGAAGCCAGGCAGGGGCAGAACCAGAGATGAGGACTTGAGACTGAGGGCTGGAGCAGGCAGGACTAAGGCTTGGGGACCTGGAGCAGGAGGGGAGGAGGGGTCAGGCCCTCTGGATGTGGGAAGGACCGTTATCAACAACTCCGGGTTTCCCAAGGAGCAGGTAGGGTGTCGATGGTGCAACGCTTTGTCCACCCCATTCTAGATAGGCTTTGGCAAAAGGAACCCCTAGTTCCCTTCCTGCTCCGATGCCCTGGCATCCTAGGGAGGCCCATTCAATCCCCTCAGTTCAAAGGCCATAGGGAGGACCCGCCCCGTGGCTTAGCGGTTAAGTGCACGTGCTCTGCTGCTGGCGGCCCGGGTTCGGATCCCGGGCGCGCACCGACGCACCGCTTCTCCAGCCATGCTGAGGCCGCGTCCCACATACAGCAACTAGAAGCATGTGCAGCTATGACATACAACTATCTACTAGGGCTTTGGGGGAAAAATAAATAAATAAATAAAATTATTAAAGGCCATAGGGAGAGAACAGGTGAGGGATGTGGGACAGCTCCAGGAGGACCCAGCACCTGTGATGATTATAACAGAAGCTTCCATATTGAGTGCTTACTACCAGGCACTGTGCAGAGATGCACAGTCACGTATCCCTCACAAGAGCCTGGTACCCATTTTACAAATGGAGAAACCAAGGTTCGCAGAGGCTAAGTGACCTGCCTAGGCCACACGGCCAGGCGCCACTCCCATTCGGATACCAGGAGGAACAAGGGACCCCAGAGCCCCCTTTTTGCCCCCCTGCTCCCCCTTTCCTGACCGACCTTGCTCCTTGATGATGGTGATGTTTACCAGGCGGCGGCCGAGGGTGGCAGTGCCCACGGGTACGTCAATGGCCTCCACCAGCAGCTGCTTCTCGTCGTCGTCCTCAGGCCGGATGAAGAGGGGCACCCGCACGTCCACCAGCTCCACGCCCTCCTGGAACTCCACCATGCCCCGGGCGTCTGGGTAGGGGTCAGGGGGCAGTCAGACTTGGGTCGAGGGCTGCACAGGGGTGGGAGGTGAGAGGGAGTGGCACAGGGAGCCTGCCCACTTACCCTGGTCTGCAGTGAGGGTGTAGTAGCCGGGGGCCACCTTGAGCTCATGGAAAGCCCCCTGCTCCACATGCTTCTCCGTCAGCTTCAGCAGGGTCTGCTTGGCCGAGCGTGGCGCCATCAGCACCGTGTCCACAATGGTGTGGTCCTGCCTGCGGGCGTCAGGTAGGGAGGTGTCAAGCTGGCCAGGAGGCTGGCACTTGTCCCCACCCACCTCTCCTGCCTGTCCTCTCTCCATCAGAGGACAAGATGCGGGGCAGCAAAACGTGCAGGGTCTTTAGAACCGGGCAGTCCTGGAGGCCCATGTTGGCCCCACCATCTCACACTACAGCCTCAGCCAAGCCACTGTGTCTCCCTGAGCCTCAGTGTCCTCATCTGTGAAATGGAGTTACCCGTGCCCACCTCACTGAGAAGGGCTGGTGATGCAAGTAGATGCAGGACAGCAAAGATGCTAAGCGTGTGGGCACTGAAGCCAGACTGCCTGGGCTCAAATCCTGGCTCTATTTCTTGATAGCTAGGTGACCTTGGGCAAGTTCCTTAACCTCTCTGATCCTCGGTTTCCTCATCTATAAAATAGGACTAGCAATGGTACCTACCTCACTGGGTTGATGAGAGTGCTGGATAAGCTAACCCCACACATGAAGCCCTTAGAACAAGGCCTGGCCCACTGTAAGCCCTCAAAGTGCTAATCTGAATGGTTCTTATTGACGGTAGTGTGCTCCGTGAGAGCTGTACTCTGTTACTGCACATTCTGTCCTCTCTGCACTGAGGCCCCCTCCTCACTCTCCCCATGAAGGGTCAGGACACGGGGTAGGAACTGGGAAAGAGGGTGTGACCCACTGGTCTGTCTTCTTGGTAACCTGCCTGGCACCCAGAGGTGCCCTGGAGGAGGGACGGGGCTGGGCACTGGGCTATCCCTGGTACTGGTGGGGGCTCTCGCCGGTATGAGGGCAGGGACTGGGTCCCTTTGGTTCCCTGTGCTTTGCCTGTCCTAGTACAGGGGCTGGCTCACAGTGAGGGCTTCACATCAGTATTTGTTGCACGAAGTCCTAATCTGTGACAGACACATACCGTCCTCCCTTCCTAAGGGATGGGGATGGGGTGTGGGGGGGAGCAGGGGGCAGACGGGGCAGGTGGCTGGGGCTGGGGCTGACCCACTGTGCGTCTTCAACTCACTTTTTTCCAGCATTGGGCTGCTGCCTGTGGGGGACAAAGAGGGAACCATGAGCCAGATGGTCCCTGGGGTGGAGGCACGATCTGCTTGGGGGAGATCTCCTGGAGACGGCTGTATGGGCAGCTCCCCCACCCAACCCCGGGCACCCAGGACCCACCGGAACTTGGTCTGCTGGAGCTTGTGTGCGCCTGTGATCTGTCTGTACACCTCGTTCAGCTGCCAGGCAAGGGAGGGCCATGAAGCTGGGGCCCTGGGCGAGCCTCTCTACCCAGAGCCGTCCAGGCCCAGAGGACCTCCCAGGTTGGCTGGGGGAATGCCCATTGCCTCATCCCCTTCTGGAAGCATTCACAGGGAACAGATCCCAGGATGACCCCCGGACAGGCACATGTCTAACTAAGGAAGCCCCTCTTTCCTACTCAGAAAAATCCAGGTTCCACGGCCACTTTCCCTTTGCTCCCCCACCACCTGGATCACACCCACGCCCAGAGACGCCGGCTGCCCCAGGATCGGCTTCTTTGGCCCTTACATTCTCCTCCACCTCCTGGCGCAGCTGGTCACATTCTCGAGTGTCAGGCTTCAGCAGGTTCTCGGTGCAAAGGCGGGCGAGGCGCAGGGACAGCCCATAGGGCACTAGGGGCAGGCAGGGATGGGGGTCGTCAGCCCCCCGCATGGTAGGCACCCCAGAAGCCCCGTCCAGGAGCCATGCTAGGATGGGGGACAACTGGCTAGCTAGGGGCCTAAGGCCTGGAGCACTATCGGGAAGGGTAGAAGGTGGCCAGGCCTGTGTCTGCTCCCAACACCCAGAGGAAACAGGAATGGTGTGATTTGGACTGGGAACAGGGGTGACTGTGCTCCAGGCCCCAAGTGCACCACTAAGAGGTGTAGTGCCCAGCACCGGCCCTCACCCAGCTCCGTGGGGTTGGTGCTGGCCACGTGGGTGGCGAAGCCAGGCCGCTGTACGTTGTTGGTGATCTTCCAGCGGACCGTGTCACGCCCCTTGAGGTTCCCGCTGCGCAGCATGGGCGTGTCCAGGTGGTCCGAGGCCATCAGGTTCTCCCGCAGCATGTAATGGTCTTCCTTGAAACCCACCATGTGACCTGCAGGACAGGGTCCTCAGGATAGGCCCCTCCCTAGACTCTCCCAGGCACATCCCTTCAGGTGGGACCCCAGGGCCTCCCACCTCTGTTCCACACTCAGCCCCCACTGCCCCTCCACCCCAGCTGGGGAGAAGAGTGATCAGAGGCCCACCACCCCTGTTGATGCCAGGCGATACCTCGGTTGCAGCAAGGGAGAAGTGCCAGGCAGGCCTAGGAGACAAGGTGGGGAGGATGAGGGCTGGGACAGCTGCCCCAGCCCAGGTAAGCCCCTCCAGCCACCACCCCACCCCCCATGCCAATGGTCCAGGGGCAACAGAGCCTTCCCCAGACACCAGGTCATGCAGACAGTTGCAGAGATCTACGTGTGGGGCACCCAGGGTGCATATAGAAGGTGATGGGGCCAGAGGGTTCCCAAAGTTCATGCCATGGGACCCTGGTGTTGCCAGATGCTCTGTAAAGTAAAGGTTCTGTGATCAAACTTATTTGGGAAGCATTGAATTCATTCCCCATGCCCCTCTTATAGTTTCACTACACATACAACTAGATCAAAGACTCTGAGAAGGCCTGCAGAGAAGAAACTTGTATCTCAAATGTATTTGATCACAGAACTCTTTTTCTCTGTAACCCATACTAATATCCCACAACACTGCGGTCACTACAGAGTGTTGCCTTTGCTGGGAATTCAGTATTCTGGCCATGCGATCCTCCATGCTTTCCTGTCTCTTGTCTGTTCTCCCCAACAAGACTGTCAGCTCCTGCGGGGGGAGGGCCCTTCCTTCCCTGCTGGCTCCCATGGCCCTTTGCATGTGGCTGACCCCAGGGCAGGTGCTCCCAGCTATCTGGCCACTGACCGTTAGCAGAGGCGAGGGGCTGGGGTGGAGAGGGGACTAGAACTGAGCAGAAGACCCGAGTTCACCTGGCCTCTGCCATCTACAAGGACACTGGTGCAGGGGATACTGGGGAAGTGGGGACCCTGGGGAGGTGGGGACGCTAGTGGGTGGTGGGGACCCCGGGGAAGTGGGGACTCTGGGGAAGTGGGGACCCTGGTGGAGGGTGGAACTCTGGTTGGGGGTGGGGCCTCTGGCAGGGGCTGTCACCTTGCAGCAGGCACAGTACTTCCAGCAGAGCAGCAGCAGCAGGGCCAGGAGCAGCAGGAGGAAGATGAGCAGGGGGATGATCCACCAGAAGGAGGCGGGAGGGCAGTCTAGGAAGGAAAGAAGAGGGGGAGGGAGGTGGTGTCCCCCTCCCTGGGTCTGACAGGTGTCCCCCAGCCTCCCCCAACCGCCTGGCTGCCAGCTCACCCTTCTTCCTGTGCACCAGGACAGTGCTGTTGGGCCCGGGGGTGCCGTCGCCCTCCACGGTGTAGCTGTAGGTACAGTCGTCATCCTCGTCCCGGAAGAAGCAGTACTCCACCACCTCCTCTGCTGCACCCACAGATGGTCAGCAGGGCACCCCCACCCCACCCTGGAGCACCCCAGGGTCTGGTGAGGTGTCCCCTACTCTGGGGCCCACCCACCTACTGCAGGGTAGGAAGCACTTCCCTAGGGAAGAACGCAAGTCCCCGGCAAACTGTGCACAGGGATGGGGCAAGGTTGGGGCTGCTCTGCCTCATGCCCAGGAGCCTCCAAGTCTGCCAATCTGTGCCCCCCACTTCCCTGTCCTGGGCATCACTCAGGAGCTTGGCTTCTAGAACATTATCTGACCTAGAGGAGAAGAGGCTGTGTGCCCCCATGGCCCAATCATGTACCCCTGCTGTGTTCATCCCCCTGCCCAGCTAGGTGCCGCTTGCCCAAGCTAGGCACCCCCTCCCCCGACTCTTTGATTCCTACCCAGCTGTGCCCCCTGCCCGGTTCTGTGTGTCCTATCTGGGTTCTGTGACCTCTCCTGGGTCTGGAACTCCTCTCTCTCTTTTTTTTTTGTTTTTGGTGAGGAAGAGTAGCTCTGAGCTAACATCTGTGCCAATCTTCCTCTATTTTGTATGTGGGATGCCACCACAGCATGGCTTGATGAGTGGTGTAGATCCGCACCCAGGATCCGAACCTGTGAACCTGGGCTGCTACAGCGGAGTGCGCAAACTTAACCACTACACCACAGGGCTAGCCCCTGGAACCCCTCTCTCTTGACTGTGTGATCTCAACCTGGATTATGAGCCCCCTGCCCAGCTCTATACCCCTGCCCAGATGAGTGACCCCACTCACCCATCAGATGCCCCCCTGCCTAGGCTTTTAGCACCTGGTCCTCCGCCCCATACCTTTCTTAAGCTCGTCCACCATCTTGATCTTAAAGCTGCACTCATCGCACATGCGCCCCTTCTTCTCACCGGTGCCCCAGGCCTGGCACTGCACGCAGGAGCGCAGGTCCTCGCAGAGGCCCAGGCGGATCTGGATGGGAGAAGGGGGGTAGATGGGCCCTGTGTGGGGTGGGCTTCTGCCAGGCCCACTCCCCCAATCTCACACCCTTGGCTGGCTCCTATGGCACCAGGTTCAGACCCTCCTGTCCACCCTGCCCTGTGCCCCCTGCCCTGTGCCCACGGTTCCCATGCCCACACCCCAGGGATTCTGGCCTCACCGCTGAGTGGTTGATCTGGCAGATGGTGTCCGTGTAGAGCGACTGCTGGTTGCAGTGGCAGCGGCCACACTCGCAGTGGCCACGCCCATTACAGATGCCCTGGGACAAGAGGAGGCACCAGTGAGCCAGCTGTACCCTCATCCCTGTCTGAGAGGGTGGGTGGTCCTGACTGGGGTCCCCTCTGCCACCCCGCACTGCCTGCCTCATGCCCAGGCCTACCCCATTGCTGTCGATGCAGGTGGCATTGCTGAGAGGACAGTCACAGCTCGAGCCTGTCCAGCCAGGCTCACACACACACTGGCCCATGATGCAGCGTCCTCGGTCTGCAGAGAAGGAGAGGGAAGGCAGAGGAGAGCCACATTCACACCTGCAGTCCAGGCTGCCCATCTGCTGGGGAGGGCCTGTGGGAGCTGAGCCTTGGGAGCTAGGATGTTTCCAGCCAGGGGCAGAGCCATCTCTTCCTTGCTTTCTTGGAGCTTCCTTCCCTCCATCTCTCCTGCTTCATTCCATCTTCTACCCTCCACTCTGCAGCCAGAGTGAGTATCACAAAACACAAATCCAAGCATGTGGCTCCCCTGTTTAAGAACCTCTAATGAGTCCTGGCCAATGCAATAAGGTAAGAAAAAGAAATAAAACATACACATATTGGAAAGTAAGAAATAATACTGTCATTATTTGCAAGTATTAGGAACATGTCACAAAATATCAAGAAGAATCTACAGATAAATTATTAGATTTCATAAGTGAGTTTAGCAAGGTGGCTAGATACAAAAAAAAAAGGCTGGATAATGAAATTAAAACCAACAATGACTCCTTTTTGCCCAAAGGATAAAGTCCAATATCCTTAGACTAGATTAGGGGTTGATTAACTATGCCCTGTGGGCCAAAGCTAGCTCACCACCCATTTTTGCAAAATCGTTATTGGAATACAGCCACACTCATTTGTTTACATATTGTCTATAGCTGCATTCTGCAAAAATGGCAGAGCAGACTGGTTGTGACAGAGACCATATGGCTCACAAAGCTGAAAATATTTACTTTCTGCCCCTTAAGAAAAAGTTTGGACTAGACTAGAACCCCAACCCCTCACGCTGTGGCCCTGCATCCCTCCCAGCAGCATCTCCCTCCCCTCCTCTCTCGCAGCTCTGCCTCTATCAAATGTCTGCTTTTCTCCGCACTACTGGGTGCTCCTTTCATTTCTCTGAGCAGAGAAATAGCAGACAGAAGCAAGAACAGAGGAAAGGGTAGAAATGCTGGGGCTCCACCCCCAGTGGCAAGTATGCAGTTGGGGCTTAATAAGTATTTGATGAGTGGATTTTCACTCATTCTTCCATGTAGTCCCTGTCTGGGTTCTGAGACCCAGGCCTAGCTCAGAAGCCCTGCCCAGACTATGTGCCCATGACCTGGCTACACTGTGTTAGGCCCTGGGGGGCTACAGAGGATGCATAACTGCAGGCCCTGCCTGTAGAAGTGTAGCATCTTCCGAGAAAAGAAAGATCACCATGCCACATACCAGCAACCAGTGAGGGTTGAGGTGGGTGGTACCCACCCGAATGAGATGGGAGAGTGAAGGGGGTAGCTACAGACTGGAGGACTTCAGGGGAGCTGAGGTCTTAAACATGAGGTGAATGTTGCCCTGGCAGGGCCCTTGGGCATCAAAAGGGCATCAAGTATATAGAGAGGGACAGAGGTCCGGGTTGGCGCTAGACTTGGAGGCACTCAGGGAGTCTGGAGGAGGGCTGGGCCTGAACTTGGGGAATCTGACTCTTGGCCTGGCCCCCCCCAACCTGGGTCCTGACTGGGAGAGCCAGTGGGCAGGGCAAGGACTGGGCACCCAGGCCACCCTCGCTGCCCTGCAGTCCCCAGCATTGGCCACCATGGCTGCCGAGCTCACCGTTGCAGAGGAATCCGGAGGTGCGGGGACACTGGAAGTTGTCGTACTCACAGAACTGACCCTCATAGCGGCCTTCGCCATAGCACACACAGTGCCCGCACTGGCACTCGCCTCGCCCCGAGCACGGCTTGTCCTCGCCCTCCCGCAGGCAAGGCTGCGTGTCGCTCAGCGAACCAGTGGAGCAGTTACAGGTCTTGCCACTCCTACGGGAGGAGCCAGTCACTTCCCACAGCCCAGGAGGAAGGCTGGGGCTTTCACCATCCCATTTTACAGATGAGGAAACTGAGGCTCTGAGAGGGCTTCAGTGGGGCCAAGTCACCCAAACACCAGTGGTGGGGCTAAAATTCAAATCTCAGTCCCCTGAGACCCTCCCATTGTCCCTCCCTCAAATCATGACAGATTTGTTCAATGTCTTGGAGCTAAAGCTAAAGCCCTCACTACCATTCTCTGACCCAGATGATATAGCCTACTACACACCTAGGCTCTATGATACTAATCTTATGGGACCACCATCGTATATGTGGTCCAATGTTGACCCAAACATCGTTATGCAGTGCATGACTGTATATCTTCATATTTCAAAGTGCTTTGAACTGGATCCACCTAAGAACTGGGTGTGTACCTTTCCTAGCCCTTTCTATGACCCACCACCCCACCCTCAGCCGGGCATATATGGTGTGCCCAGGGTCAGGGCCTTGCAGTGGCCCAGCCAGGTGCCAGTTGCACTCCCGCGCACTCACCAGCCCTCATTGCACATGCAGTGTCCACACATGAAGTCTCCGTTGAAGCTGCAGTGAGCTGACCGCACCTCTTTTTGCTGGAATGAGATTGTGGTGGGTGTATGGGGGGAGGGGGGCCAGGGCCACTGCACACTACTGCTGCCTCTGCCCCTCAGGGCACCCCGGAAGGCAGATGTGGCCCCAAAGGCTCTGCTTCATTACCCAGCCCCGAAGGCTGGGGGCGTGGCTCAGCACCTCCCTCCCACCTGGCAGAGCCGCATCGTACCAGCTCACAGGAGCACACATCACAGATGATGCCCACGTCAATCTTGAGGCCATCGGAGAAGGAGGGCTTCAGATGGATGTTGCCCTTCTGATCCTCTACTGGAAGCTGGCACACGTGTGTCCCATCCAGCTTCTCAATGGCCCGCAGCTGCACGTGGTATGTGCCCTGCAGGGACCCCAATGTCAGTCAAGGCAGACTCCGCTGGGAATGACCTCAAGTTCTCAGCCCTCCAGCTTCAGGGCTGGGCCTGGTCCCTGATGCCCAGCCCCCTGCCCACCTTTCCTCTGGGCTGAAACCTTGCTCCTTCCAGGCACAGTCACAAAACAATCGCAACAACAGTAACAAGAGCCTCCTTCGGCCCATTCACTCATCTGAGCAACCCTCTGAGCTCTGTGCTAATTAATCCCTGCTGCACAGATGAGAATAAGCCAAAGAAGGTGCCAAGCTCATCCGAGTGGGTAACCCAGGGGGCTTCGAACCCAGGCCTGCCTGACTCTGGAGGCCCCGCTCTTGACCTCTGCTCAGGCAGACCCCCCCACTTGCAGGGCGGTGTGCCCATCCTCCCCTGCTCCAGGGCCCCCACAAAGGCGTACCACTTCCCCTCGCCGGATGTGAAAGGACCCTGTGTTGGTCTTCTGGAATATCTTGGAGTTGACCTCTGTCCTCAGGCCTCGGGGGCTTTCCAGGGCCCGGATGTCCAGGTTGGAGCGAATGCGCTAAAAGAAGGCAGGTGATTAGTGGTCTGGGGGGAGCCTGGGCTCACCCACTCTGGCCTGGCCTGGCTGTGCTCCACCCCCACCTGCATGGAGGGCTGGGGTGGGCGGTCAAGGTGGCAGGGCCCCCAGGAGCCTGGGGCCAGGCCCAGGTGGGCTCCTCAGGGCCCCCAGGCACCAGCAGAGACCCTTCCTCACTGGCCTATCCTATTTCTCAACCCTGACTTGAGACATCCTTTGCCCTTTCCGCCTCCTCTCCAGCTCCGCCCCAGAAGGACTGAGACTCGAGCCCGCGCCGCCCCTCACGTCGAAGGCCTCCTCCAGCAGATCCACGATGTTGGACGAGTCCTCCTGCAGCACCCCCAGTGAGGAGACGGGGAAATACGTGTGCAGCTTCTGCAGGAGAGAATGCCAGGCCTGGGCTAAGCCCTTGACAAGTATCATGTCACTGAATCCAGACAACAGCTTTGAGGTTAGCCCCACGTTGCAGATGGGAAAGCTAAGGCCTAGAACTTGCAGGTGTATTCCAGAGCCTGTCCTCTAAGCCTCTACCTGCTTGGGAGTTGGGTTAGGGGATGGGCACATGACCTCCCCTTCCCACCAGGGCCCATCCTTGGGGGGCCAAAAGTTTAGGGAAGGAAGGGTGTCTGAGAAGTGCCATGGATCCCCCCACCCTGCCCATCCTCTCGCCCAGTGAGGCCCCTGCCCCCGCACCTCGTAGTAGCTATAGGAGTAGTTGGTGACGGCGAAGATGGGGATAATGTTGTGTTTGCCAAGCAGGCGCACCAGGGTGGGCACTGACGGGTAGTCCTGCATCTTGTAGTGGGTGTAGGTGCCCGTGGCGTCCAGGTGGCACGTCTCATCGTTGCGGTTCATGATGCCGGCCAGCACATTGGCACCGTCAGCCTCATAGTGGAAGGCCGACTCGGTGGAGAACACCAGCAGGTGGGTGCTGTCGGGGCGCCAGCCGATGTCCCTCTGGGGAGAGCAAGGAAGGGATGCCAGCTGAGCAGCCTGCCTGCTGAGGACACTCACCGCAGCACCGTGTATGACAGCGAAAGTGGTTCCCAACACGGGGCTCAGCTAGGCCACAGGATTGACAGCATGCTGCCATCATGAACGACACATGTGACAGACGGCGCAGGAGTGATGGGAGTGAAAAATAGACACCTGCGATGAGGATGGGAAGTAGATGTAGGGTCTGTGCACACAGTGGCACCATGTAAGATTTGAACCAGGTTCATCAGACTATCCTCTCAAGCTGCTACCCACTCTGTGAGAATATTTTTAAACGCATAGGAAAATGTACACCACGCAACGTTAAATGAAAAAGGCCAGTTAGAACAGGTACAGCAGTGCACAGCAATTTGTTAGAGAAATATATGGAGTGATTTTGAAAACCATGTATTACAAGAGAAAATGTTTACGATGGTGTTAGGTGAAAAAGCAAGTTTCAGAACTATAAGTACACTGATTCCAACTATATAAAATAAGAAAAAGGGAACAAAATATGGTGAGATATCAAGGGGCTGTCTGTCTGGTGATGGTGAAATTATGGCCAATTTCTGTTCTTTGTTTTCCAAATTGTCTGTAATATGGGTATATTATTTTAAAAATGAAAAAATTGATATGCACATAAAAACAAGTGCCCTCTTCAGCTGCCCAGTATCCAACAGTGCTGGGAATGGCATTAGCAGGGAGATTGGGTGAGAGGCTGGCCTCAGGGCACCGAAGATTCCAGAACCCCAGGACTCATGTCTGCCTCCCTGGTCAATACAAAAGCAGGCTGTGACTGCTCAGCTGGGGGACCTTGGCTCCCAGCATATCTAAACCTGTATTGTAATTGAGGGCCACCCAGGGGGTCTGAGTGTGTCTCAGGGCATGCGGGCCTCCAAGCCGGGCACCAGAGCAGGGCAGTGGGCAGCTTGTGCCCTTGTAGAGAAGCACAGCCCTGGTCTAGGCTGGCAGGACCCTCCCTGGCACTCACCGTGCACACGGCTGTCTGCAGGATGGCATCAAAACCTCCTTCAGGGGCATCCAGGTTGCCTGAGATCCGTTCTCCCTGCAGTTTACTCTGGAACTCGTCCACATCTTCCGTCAGGCTGATGACGTTCTTGAAGGAGAAGGGGGGGTCACTGTTGGGCCAGGGCTCCTTCAGCCTGGGCAGAGGTGGGAGGGAGATAGAGAGAGTCAGAAGGAGACCCACATATCCCCGTGCCCACCCTCTCTGGGAACTGCCCCCTTGGCTCATTTCAACCAGAAGACTAATAAGTGCCTGGGTGAAGAGGAGGCGGGCCACACGGCCAGGACCCCTGCCCACTCACTTCTCAGGCCTCATGTCTGTCTGAGGGACGCTGACTTTGTCCACAAATTTGCCAAATCCAATAGTGTAGTCGCTGGTGAGCTGCTTCAGGACCTTGGCTGAGTGTTAATAGAAAAAAAAGGGGGGCAGCTGAGCCCCAATACCCCCACATCAACACAGGGGCTGGGGGCTGGCTCAGGAAGGAGGAAGAGGAAGAATAACCACCCACTAGCAGCATTTTGCATGTTGGACATCAGTTCACGCTCACAATAGCCCTTGTCCCTATTTACAGAGGAGGGAAATGGGACTCGGGGGACCCAGAGTCATACATGGGACAAATGGGAGTGGGGCGGCTGGAGAACTGGACCAGCTCTGTCTGCGGGTGGGACTCAACCTCAGCCTCGTGGCACCGGGTGCCTCCCTGTCAGGGCCAGAGGGCTCTGCGGTCCACCAGGTGTAGGCCCTCTCTGAAGTCCTGAGTAGTTAGCAGGGTCTGGCCGAGACCCTCCCCTGAGAATGGGGGGAGGGAGTTCTTGGAGGGCTCAGATGTCCCTGTCCTGTCCTCCCTTGTGGGGTGGGCGCAGCTGTCCTGAGCCCTGGCCTCCTGAGCAGGTGGCCAGCCAGCTGGGTGAGGCCACTCTCTCCATCCCCTACCCCACTGTCCTCCGTGCTGGCCCAGCCATACCCAGGTTCTGCCCCATCTTCTTGAGATTGTCCAGATCGTCGGACATGGAGTTGGAGAAGTCCATGAGGATATACAGGTCCACGGGGCTCTCCCGGGGCTCAAACACCTCCAGCTCAAAGTGCCGCTCTTCGCCCGGCCGCAGGCGGACCCGCAGCCCCTGGGGGGACACCTGGCTGCGTAGCAGGGTGGTGTCGATCTGGGTCTCCTGTGTCCAGGGGAGAGGGACAGCTGGCTGGAGGGTCACTCCAGAGACCTGATGGGGAGCCTCTCAGCCCAGCCAGGGGACACAGTGGACCCCCATAAACCATCAACCTTGAGCATGGAGGGCCCACCTCCCTTGACCCCTGCTCTGGGCACCTCTGTGATCTCAAAGCTGCTCTCCATGACCACCACACTCTCCAGCCGGCAGCCCGCAGCCAGCAGCTCTGTCTGGGTGTTGCAGCGTCGTTCCTTGAACATCTGGCCGGAAGGAGATGGGGTCAGGGGCACAGTGCCCATGCCCAGGCTGTCCCAACCCCGGATTTATTCCCCCAGACCTTCCTGACCCTTGCCTGTTCTCCCACAGCCACCTGGCCCAAGGCTGGGCTGAGGGTATGGCAAGTGTGGACTTGCCAGAGCCGAGGTGGGGTGTGGCAGGGCGGGGCACCCAGGGCGGGGAGGTGGTCCGGGCCGGCCCTGGCTCGGGAAGGCAGGCCAGCGGGCAGCAGCTCACCTCGTCGGTGCAGTAGGCGCAGTCCTTGGCCACACGGATGCACTCGGTGCAGCTCTTCACCTGGGCCTTCTTGCAGCTGTTGGCTGGTGGGCAGAGACGGGCAGATCCACTGAGAGGGACCTCACCGATGACCAAGCCCTTTCCCATCTGCACCCTCACTTGAGAGAGGTAGGGATTCTCTCCGAATTTACAGAGAGAAAACGGAGGCCAGAAGGCCAGAACAGAGGCCTGATTCTGCCCCAGGCAGCACAGCTGGAAATGGGCGGAGTCAGGTCTGAAACCTAGAACTTTCTGCTCCAGTCCAGAGTGAAGGACAGTGGGGGCTGAGACAGAGGTGCTGGCCCATTTGCTGGCAGGGACACCCTGGCCATCCCCCTCGCCTGTTCTTCTGTCTTGTTTATCGCTGGGTCCCTGGTGCCTAATGCAAGGCCTGGCACACAGTAGGTCGTTAGTAAAGGAATGAGGTAAAACTCCACAGTTTCCCCAAAGATTATTGGGATTCCCTTTGGTTCTGCTCAGTTAAAATTACATTAACACCTACTATGTGCACCCAGGGTACACAGTGGGCGGTCTCCTGGGCTCCAGGCAATGGTGCACTGTCAATGTTCAACAACAGCTCTGGTGAGACAGGAGAAGCCCTGACTTGCAGCATTTGCCAGTTTCCATTGTATAAATATTCCCACCATGGTCTATTTCAAGCTATCAACATGGCCTCTACTGACAAGCAAAATTTTATTGGTAGAAGCAGCCTCTAGCCCCTTGTGAACTGCAGACACTCAGAGAGCAAGTGATGAGCCACTGGTCTCTCTCCTCCAAATTCCTATAAAACTTTTTTTTTTTTTTTTTGTGAGGAAGATCAACCCTGAGCTAACATCCATGCCAATCCTCCTCTTTTTGCTGAGGAAGACTGGCCCCGGGCTAACATCTGTGCCCATCTTCCTCCACTTTATATGGAACACCGCCACAGCATGGCCTGACAAGCGGTGCATCGGTGCGCGCCCGGGATCAAACCCAGGCTGCCAGCAGCGGAGCGTGCACACTTAACCGCTACGCCCCGGGGCTGGCCCCTAAAACTTTTGACTCCACTTTCGAGGCCTCAGCACATCCTGCGAGTGCTTCCATTCTCTGAGTGGGCGTCTTCTCTTCCCTCTAGACCAAGTCTCCTTCCCTTCGGTGTTCTCGGGCCACATGGCTCAGGCTCACGATTCCCTAGCCCTCGAAGTGGGTGGTGGTCGTTTGTTGAATGGCTGAGTGAGTGTCTGGGCGAGACACCCCATGAGAGGCCCCCGTGTGAGGGCAGTGCCTTGAAAGGCATGCCCTCGCCAAGAGGGGTGCTGAAGGGGCATGCCAGACTCACCCATGTCCCCAGGAAAGCTCACACTCAGCAGGGCTGCCAGCAGCAGCCTGGTCCATGGGCTGGAATGCGGCCCTGCCATCCTCTTCCTCCTGTATAACAGCAACAATTGACATACGATGCCTCTACACCCTTGGTCCCTGGGGGCCACTCTACAGCTCACTGGGTCCCTGTCAGAGTTCCACCATTCCTAACGCACAGGTGTGGAAACTGAGGCTCTGAGAGCTTCAATGATGTCGCAAGGCCACGCAGCCTGTGAGTGGCAGGGCCAGGGCCCCTGATTCCTCTTTTCCACTGCCCCCTTCCTTGCCATCCCTGGGGTGGCTAGACACCATGCAGGCCTGCAACCTGCCCAGGGAGGCCCCCACCCTCTCGCCACTGAGGACTCTGGGCTCTGAGCTGGTCCCAACGCCAGGTCTCTTGTGCTGGTCTCCCTGAGGGCAGGGCAAGGCTTACCCTGCCTTTGCTTTCTAGACCCCAGGGGGCCTCGGTCAGGCTTGGCAGGGATAGGGCCATCCAATAGGGGGGCTACCCTAGACGGCCTGGCTCTACCTTCCTGCCCACTCTCTGTCCTGGTCTACTTGCCCTTTGGTGAGGGGGCGCAGCTAGGAGGGACTCCTTCCAATATCTGGGGCCTGGGGAGGGGAGGAGGCAGCTCGCTGCACTCGGCTAGGTTCTGCAATGGCTGCCTGCCCCATCAGAGGTGGGGTCCCCTGTCCTACCCTTCACCTCTGCCTACCCCAGAGGTGAGTTTTGGGGCCCCTGAGCAGTTGACCCTTTCAAAAGTTAGCCTGCAGCTAGGTTACAAGCCCCTCCTGCCCACTAACACGCACACATAGTGCCAGCCACCCCGGGAGCCCTGTCTGCCTTTAGTTCACTCACTATTAAACCATCTCAACTCATCAACAACCTGACCTCTGGGGCAGGCATTGGCATCCCTGAGGGCTTTTAAAAGGTGGGCAGCCTGCTGCTTCAGGAAGAGAAGGGGGCTGCCTAGAGCCACCCGGCCTGCAGAGCTGAGGACAAAGAGTAGGGCCCTGGCCTCTTTCTCTGGGGCCAGTCCTCCTAGTGGCCCAAGACCACGCCATGCCCACTGGCCCACCCTCCTTGGATCCTTTCTCAGTCCCCAGCTTGTGAGGCAGGAGTAGCCCCAAGATCTGGGGGGTTGAGGCCCCCACAGTGCTGGGGAGTCCTGGGGGGGGGGCAGGAAGGCATTGCCTCCCTCCCTCCAAGGCATGTGGCCCCCAGGAGGCCACTAGCAGCTCCAACACATCCACAGGCAGAGCCCGCTGGGGAGGAGCCGCACTCCACAGGGCTGAGGTAAAGACGCCTGGATCCAGCCTGAGGGGGAGCTGCTTGGAGGAAATAACTTTCCTGCAGCCTCGGGGCGTAGGCACCACACCCTCACGCTACACAATAAGACTGCAGACTTGGCCTCCCTGGGGCACCATTACACTGGCAGGTACGACTCTGGAGGGCTGATCCTGGCTCTTAACCTTAGCATGCCCACAGGCTGGGCACACAGCAGGCATGCGCCCAGCACTTCATGTACATGATTGCTATTTAATCTGCACAGAAACCCAATGGGGGATGATTGCATCATTCCCATTTCCCAGACGAGAGGACAAGGCACAAGGCTGAGGGGCTTCCTCATCCCGCAGCCAGCAGTGGGGGAGCCTGGATGGGACTCGGGCAGTCCAGACTCCCCATTTAACCTCCATATTATCCTCAGAGGCTACAAAAAGGTAGTTGGGGGGCTAGTCACACACTCAAGAGTGTTTTGTTGGACTTAACTTGTGTTTTAAAAGTTTTAAAAGTATGTGTCGATGTTAAAAACAATGAGATTTTACATAAAAGTTAGGATTGCGGGCTTATCAGAAGATGTGGCCACTGCGGGCTGGGTGGAGTACTCAGGACATACACTCTCTTCAGGCCACCCTCGGCCCCACCAGGCTGCTGGGCCTTTTTATGTACCAGTCCGGTCCCAGGAGTATGTGACTGCCACCCTAAATGTTGTCACACTGTGGCACACCCAGGCCTTCCACACACAGGGACATGCACGTGCATGCACACACGCCGTGACCCACAGGCACATAGGCTCAGAGCTCCCCCCACACTCACTCTCCCTCCACCCCACAGGACCCTTGCTTAGTACATCTGCACCAACGCACCACAGCTCTCTCCCCTCCTGCTTTCCCATCTCCTGGCCCCTCAGCTGCTCTATCACCCACGGGAATCAGGGCCAAGGAGACAGGCACCCCTTCCCCACTGTCCCTCCTGCTCTCCTCTCTCCCCTCAGCCCCCAGGATGGAGACCCTCAGTCTTCACTTCCAGCTCTGTCGGAGGCAATAACAACCATGCCACTTGTGCCCAGTCCTCAGGCTCAGGGTGCGGCAAGGCCATGGGTGAGGAGGAGAAGCCCAGCCCCTGCCCTGGGGAGCCATCTAGAGCCCCTGACCCAGGGGCCAGAGGGCCAGCCACAGGCTGAGTGGGTGAGAAACAGGCCGGCACTGCAGGAGGTTACTGTGGTGGGCACAGCCCTCAGGCTGCTGGATGAGCTCAGGAGAGCTTCCTGGAGGAAGGATGTCCTGAGCCAACTTTGGAAAGAGGGCGGGCGCATGCTTGGCCAAGAGAAGAGGAGAGTCAGGGACTCCTCAGACCCCAGATGGACTATGGCACCCCACACAGTAAGCCCTGACCAGCCCAACAGGGAGAGCCTCTGCCTCTAGGTGGCTGCTTCCCCCACCTTCTTTGCAAACTTCGGAGGGGCCTAGCCCAGTAGGCCTGCCAGCCACTGCCCAGCCTCTGCCCACTTCTTCCGCACACCCACCCAAGCCCAGGCCTCTCTCCTGCTGCCTTCCTCTAGCCCAGAGGTCTGATGGCCAAGAGACTTCCCCAAGCTCCCCTGCCCCTCTGCCCCCAGCTACCCCCTGGGTGCACCCTAGCAGGTTGGGCACCTGCCCTGGGCAGCACAGGCAGAGCGGGCCAGGGCCTGCCAGCCTTCAGTGAGGCGAAGAGCCGAGGAAACAAAAGCCACTCGGCCCTCCCGACCGGCTCCCCTGCGCGGCTGCCCAGGCTGGGTGGGCACCCACTTTCTCCTCCTCATCTCCGAGGTCCCAGAATGGGCGCCCAGCCCTGGCGGCCCGGGGCACTGGAGGGGCGAGCAGGGTGTGGCCCGGCGACCCCGAGCGCTCTTCCGCCCTGCGCCTGTGCCCCTGGCGCCTGCCGCGGTCGGAGGCTGGACCTACCTTGGGCGGACTTGCGCCCTCCCTGCGCTGGGCTCCGCTCGGCGACTCCGGCTGCAGGCGCGCGCGGGCGAGCCGGGACTGTCCGGAGGGCGGGCTGCAGGGAGGGCGGCGGCTGGCGGCGGGAGGGGGCCGCTTTATGGGGCGGGCGGCAGGTAGGAAGGAGGCGCTGGTGAGTCAGGCCGGCCGCATTCCTGAGCGCGGCGCGCACCTGTCGGGGCAGGAGCCGGGGCGCTGCCGCCGTCGCCGGGACCGCCCCCCGGAAAAGGCTGCGGCTCCCGCGGTGCCCAGCCCCGCGCCCCGACCGACGGCTGCTGGGGCAGGGGAGGAGCCATCCCCCTCTCTCTCCAGTCCAGCCCCGGGCGCGGCGTCTCCCCACCCCTCCAGGCTCCAGACTCGGGTGCTGGGCTGTCTCGGGCTGGGGGTGGCCTCTTAGCCCCCTGCCCGGACCGCCGCCCTCCCTCCTCCAGACCCCGAGCGGCGAGCCGCCGCACTTCCCCGACGGCAATCGACTGCGCGCGCCACCACCCTCCTTCCTGTGCTGGCGCGAGGGATGGGCCCAGGGATTGCCTCAGGCCAGGTCTGCCATTCCCTGGGTCCTCTCAGCCTCCCCCACACGTGTGTCCAGAGGGAGATCCGAGCAAGCACTCGTTCCTTGAGTGTCCTCAGGCAAACTACTTAAACCTCCTTCAAATGTGAATAATACCCATCAGGAGACCAGCACCGACCTGGCATGGAGCAAGCACTCGAATTGTTACAGTTGTTCTTGACAAGCCGGTTCACACACATGAGCCCTCGTCTTCAGCATGCCATCTCTCAAGTGCCACTGGTTAACCTGTGTTCCAGGGGGAGCCTCTCAAGTTGCTCCATGACCCCGACATGGTCTATTTCTCTAGCCCCACCTGCCAACAAAGGCAGACAATACCCTGTTGCTGGCAGCCCCCCTGCCCAAACCCTGCAGCTTCAAGCCACCGTACTTCTGCACCAGGCTGGTCCCTGTGCTTGGGCTCCCTGCCACCAGCCAGCTTGCTTTATCCTTCCTATCCTTGAAGGTACTGTGCTGACGTCACATGCTCCAGAGAGCCTCAGTGACTTCCCTGCTCCCTGGGTTGGGTTATGTGTCTCCATAGCCCTGGGACATGGCTCTTCCATGGCATTTGCACATTAGTTTAAAATGATCTGTTTAGGGGTCTCTCTTCCCCATTCGACTGTGAACCCTGAGGATGGACGCTCTCTAGCACTTTTTATTTATTTATTTATTTATTTATTTATTTATTTATTTATTTATTTATTGAGGAAGATCAGCCCTGAGCTAAGATCCATGCCAACCCTCCTCTTTTTGCTGAGAAAGACTTGCCCTGGGCTAACATCTGTGCCCATCTTCCTCCACTTTATGTGGGACGCCGCCACAGCATGGCCTGACAAGCGGTGCGTCAGTGCGCGCCCGGGATCCGAACCCCGGCCGCCAGCCAGCAGCGGAGTGCACGCACTTAACCGCTACGCCACGGGGCCGGCCCTGTCTAGCACATCTTTTTATCCTCAGCACCTAGCACAGTGCCTGGCAGATAGCAGGTGCTCAATAAAAGTGTGGGGGATTTTCACATAGCCTCCCTGAGGTGCAGTGCTCTCATCTGTAATCAGACTTGTGTGCTGCCAACTCTCCGAGTGATCCTGGGAGCAGCTGGGACTGGATATGGAAGTGCCGTGGACACATGAGTGCTCACTGCAACTGTGCGAGGCACAGTCGCCACTTACCACCTTGCCCAGTTGTCTGAGAGTTGCTCTGCACAGTCCAGGGCTCAGAGAGGCTGACTCCTGGATTTGGGAGCATGGTGGCAGGAGCCCCAGTTTGGTTGAGGCACTCAGGTCAGAGCATACCAGGTAGCACAAGTGCCCTGTGGACCTCAGCTACGCCAGCAGGTACCCAGTCCACCCCTGGAAATTGGAGCTCAGAGAGCAGCCTGCCAGCACCACCCATTAGAGGGCTGGGGTGGGCCATACGCACTCTACTGTGAGTGAGGGGCTGAGGCACCCTCCTAGAGAAGGAGACCCAGGCCTAGAGGCAGCAATGCCACAGACTCCACCAGGCTCAGCAGCCCATTCCTCTCCTCATTGCCAGACCCTTCTAAAAATGCCTGGGGGGGCGCTGGAGCCCTGCAGCAGCTGAGAGGTGAGACATCTACTCTGGGGAGGCCCTAAGAAGACAATCCAAGAAACAATCAGGTTTCTTGGAGTCTGCAGTTTCATTACCTGGAGCTTACGTGTGGACTTCAGGGGAGTCCACATAGACCATCTGAGATCATGTGCAAAACTGGAAGTGTATCTGATATAGGAATATAGATTTGCTGGGAAGAGGATCCTTAGCTTACACTGTATTCTCAAATAGGTTACTGGCCCCCAAAGGGTTAAGGATCATTGTACTGCATAGTATTTTTGTAAAAATAAAACAAAACCCCACTGTCTCGTTCTGCTGCCTTAGAGCCAGAGTGAGGCTGGCATATAGGGGGACTTCCCTCTCTAGGCCCTGCCAGAGAGATGAGGTCCCTTGAATGGAATGGAGAAGCTCATGAACCTCGGACTGCTGCTCCCCTGCACTCATCACGTGGCCTCCAGTAGGCCAGCTTTGTTCACTCATTAGTTCAATTGCTTATTCATTTTACAAGCATTTAAGGAGCTCCTGTGCTAGGTGCTGGGGATACCCAGAGGAGTGGGACACACCTCCTGCTCGCCTCACGGAGCTCATAGTTTAAACCACTCCTAAGTGGGCTGCATATTCGCCAGGCATGTGCCAGATGTTCCACTACAGACAATGTATGTCACTTATTGGTAGAATGGTACGTTTCTATAAATAAGTTAAATGGTAAATAGAGGGGCCGGCCCTGTGGCACAGTGGTTAAGTTCGCACTTTCCGCTTTGGTGGCCTGGGGTTCGCCAGTTCAAATCCTGGGTGTGGACCTACTCACCGCTCATCAAACTGTGCTGAAGTAGCGTCCCACATAGAAGAGCTACAACTCTACAACCAGGTACTGGGGCTTTGGGTGAAAAAAAAATAATGATTAAAAAAAAAAATAATAAGGTAAACAGAGAGACAGGGGATGTGTGATCAAAACAGTTTGGTGACTAGTCTTGAGACCCAGTGTCAACCACTCCCTCCAACTGAGGGAAAGGCCTCTCGGGTGGCCAGTCTCTAGGCCTAGTCTCTCCCAGGGGCCAGAGGGTTGCTCAATAGACTGCCTCTTAAATTATGATTTTTTCCCCCAACTTTTTATTTTGAATATTTTCAAACATATAAAAAAGTTGAAAGAAGACTACAAAAATCACCTACATTTTTGCCACCTGGACCCAAGAGCATACATTTTGCCACATTTGCTTTATTTATGTATTTGTTATGTATTTATATGTCTTTTTATTTGGATATAAGTTGAATATATCATGACATTTCATCCCTCAACACTCCAGGCATGCATCTCCAAGAACAGTCCCCCACATAACCACAATAACTTGATCACACCTAAGAAAAGAACAAGAATGTCCTAATATCTATGATTCAGTCCATATGAACATTTCTTAGTTGTCCCCAAAATGTCTGTTATAACTGTTTCCTCTTGAATTCCAGTCCAACCCATGTCACCCATTGCATTTGATTGTTGTATCTCTTTCTTACTCTAAAACAGTCTCCCCACACCCACAGTGACCTTTTAAAGAGATAGGCCAGTTGACCTGCAGAATGTCCCACTGTCTGGATTTGTCTGATTGCTTCCTCATGGTGTCATTGGACTTTGTTTTTTTTTGCTGAGGAAGATTGTCCCTGAGCTAACATCTGTGCTGATCTTCCTCTATTTTGTATGTGGGTTGCGGCTGCAGCATGGCTGATGAGTGGTGTAGGTCCACGTCCAGGATCAGAACCTGCGAACCCAGGCCACTGAAGCGGAGCGTGCTGAACTTAACTACTACGCCATGGGGCCAGCCTCTGGACTTGTGTTTTTAGCCTCCTGGAAGTTAGGTCTGAAAGTCTGGTTAGATTCAGGTTAGACGTTTTTGGCAAGGATGGTCATAGGTGGTGCAGTGTGTTTTATTGGTGGCACCCGATGTCAGCTGTCTCACTGTTAGTGATGATTAAGGAAGTGATCACCATCTCCATCGTAAAAATATGTTTTCCACTTTGTGATTAAGAAGTAATCCAGAGGGGAGGCTGATGCTTTGTCACCCTGCCCATTTCCTAACAACCTTTCATTGAAGTTTTAGCATCCATTGTTGATCCTTGCCTGAATCAGTTTTTCTTTCTTTTTTTATTTTTTATTTATTTTTAATTTTTTAAAAGATTTTATTTATTTACTCCCCCCCCCCCAAAGCCCCAGTAGATAGTTGTATGTCATAGCTGCACGTCCTTCTAGTTGCTGTATGTGGGACACGGCCTCAGCATGGCCGGAGAAGCAGTGCGTCGGTGTGCGCCAGGGATCCGAACCCGGGCCGCCAGCAGTGGAGCGCACGCACTTAACTGCTAAGCCACGGGGCCGGCCCCAGTTTTTCTTTCTTTTTTTTTTTTGTGAGGAAGACTAGCCCTGAGCTAACATCCAATGCCAATCCACCTCTTTTTTTGCTGAGGAAGACGGGCCCTGGGCTAACATCCGTGCCTGTCTTCCTCTACTTTATATGGGACGCGGCCACAGCATGGCTTGACAAGCGGTGTGTCAGTGCACGCCCAGGATCCGAACCTGGGAACCCCGGGTTGCCGCAGCGGAGCACGTGTTCTTAACCACTTGCGCCACCGCAGTTTTTCTTTTAAGGTTGAAAAATGGTGATTTTCCATTTCTATATTTAATGGAAGGTAACTTTTTCTTTTTTTTTTTTTTGGTGAGGAAGATTAGCCCTGAGCTAACATCTGTAGCCAATCCTCTTCTTTTTGCTGAGGAAGATTGGCCCTGGGCTAACATCCATGCCCATCTTCTTCTACTTTGTATGTGGCATGCCTGCCACAGCATGGCTCAATAAGCAGTGGGTAGGTCTGCGCCCGGGACCTGAACCCATGAACCCTGGGCTGCTGAAGTGGAGCGCATGAACTTAACCACTACACCACCAGGCTGGCCCCAAAGGTATCCTTCTGATTAAAAAAAAAATAGAGGTTCCCTTCACCAACAGCGGATGAACTACGTTCCTCCAAAACTCCAGGGTCAGTGCTTCTTTTCTTTTTGAGCTATAGACACTTTAAGATTACTACTATTATTACAAAGCAACCCAAAAGATTTTTTAAA